ATCTTTGACAGTGATGAGGAGGATGGGCCTGTCACTGCACACTCCCGCCAGAGTGAGACTTTCACGGACGTTGAGGTGAACGGAAATCTATCAGCAGAGGAACGAGATGCCATCGGCTCTCTGTTGCATCGCTACAAGGACATCTTCTCCGATAAGCCAGGAGTTGCCCGGGTCGACTGTCACACTATTGAACTGACCAGCCCTACACCTGTTAGGGTAAAGCCCTATCCTATACCTATGCGACTACTGGACACTGTTGTTACGAACCCCTCCACCCAGCACTACGAACCACGCCATCTATTGTCTTGATCTACCTACCCAGCACCACGAGCAACGCCATCTAGGGACGAAACACGAGTAAGACTCGTCTTAGTTACCACTCCGGGGTTTCCCTTCTCCATATCCTGGTTGTTGCGTCACTTCCTCCAAGTCTTCTTTGTGAGCTCCAATTCGAGGAGGGGGCACTTGGCTCTGGGAAGTGACCACAGGATCATCTATCCTCTAAACCTACGGTGCAGTGACTACCTACCGTCTTCTACAATACTCAGCCTTACTCGTCAGCCATCTCAGCTCCTCACTTAAGTATTTGTATCTTGTATTGCCTCCCCCACGTCCACTTGCTTCAAAATTGTTTATGTTGTATTAATATGTATATACTGTTAATGTTTAGGTTAAGTTTGGTTAAGGGTAATTTATAAGCTGAATATTTTGTTTAGGGATTTATGGTACTTTATTATACACAACGAAAACTCGCATCCTTTGTCTACCCTTTTATAGTCCGATTGTCTTTGTTTTTGTTTTTTTGTTACCTGTTGGGATCTGGGTAGACGTATAACTATATTCTAAATCCCCAACTCGTAACACTGTCAATCAAGAAATTGAGGAAATGGAAGCAGTAGGAATCATCGAGAAATCATCGTCTCCATACTGTAGTCCTATGGTAGTCGTCCGAAAAAAGGATGGGGGTGTCAGGATCTGTGGGGATTATAGGAGAGTAAATGCCATTACCCAGGTGGATGCTGAACCTATGTGTGATCAGAAAACCATTTTTTCAAGAATAGCTGGTTCCAAGTTATTTACCAAACTTGACCTGACCAAGGGGTTCTTCCAAATCCCACTGGACCTGAAGAGTCGGCAGATCACAGCCTTTGGTACGCCAGGGGGCTCTACCAGTATAGAGTCCTTCCCTTTGGTCTCACAAACACCCCTGCCATCTTCAACCGTGTCATGAGGCAAGTCCTAAACGGCATCAAGGGAGTTGAGGCATTTGTGGATGACGTGTTAATCCATTCAGCAACATTTGAGGAACACCTGGAACTCTTAGAGGAGGTGTTCCGGAGGTTCCAACAAAAAAACATAACCTTGAAACCAAGCAAGTGCGAGATCGGTCAGACCGCAGTACAGTTCCTCGGACACACTGTCGGCGGAGGACGCTGCACCTGCCAGAATGAAAAGATAAAAAAGGTCCAAGATGCACCACGGCCCACTACAAAAAAACAAGTGAGGTCATTTCTGGGCCTCGTAGGGTACTACCGGAACTTCATCCCAAACTTTGCCGTGGTGGCTCTCCCTTTATCCTGCTATGCAAGCAACCCATCCTTCAACTGGTGATGAAGGAAGAGCCTTTCATCCTCTGGACCGATTCTTCACAGGATGAGGTTGGCACAGTGCTACTACTAGAGGCAGACGGTGAGGTTTTTCCAGTTGTGTATCACAGTCGGAAGTTGAAACCTGCAGAGAGGAATAACAGCACGGTTGAGAAGGAACTTTTGGCAGTAGTGGAAGGCATCAAGAAGTACTACTACTATCTCTACGGAGGTGAGTTTGTGTTGGAGACAGACCACATGCCGCTCACCAGTCTCCGACCATCTAAGAATGCAAATGCTCGTCTGATGCGGTGGGCACTGTATCTCCAGCAGTTTAACTTCGTCCTCCGGTACATCAAGGGCAACCTGAATGTGGAGGCTGACCTCCTATCTCGACTTGTGGGGGAACCAGAGCAACTGATTGAGAGGTCACCTTCCCAAATGAGTGTGGAGTTGGTCTAGACTCCAGTCGACTCGAGCCTCCAAGCGTCTGACGGCTCGTCATATGTTATGTATTTTTCTCACACCTTTCTACACTTGAGAACATAACACAACACCTGTGCCACCTAAACAATGTCTACATACCCTACACCACACAACACGTTGCTGTAATGTAAATGTAGCGTGCTTACGCTTACCATGAACTAATGCTCGGGAATTGTCACCCTCGCCGCGGAGTTTTCCTCTCGCCAGAAAAACTAAAGTAAATGTTGAGGTTTTCCCTCAGTGGCGATTGGCGACTATATTCCGTTGCAGTGTTAGTGTTACACACACACCACAGTGTGAATGTCGAATTATGTGTCTGGGATAGGCATTCTCTTGATTGTATACAGGTGCTAAAAATTTATTCTCCAAAGAAAATTTTTTTCTTAGTAGGGGCGATTGTCATGGGTTGCGTTGGGCCTCCCGCACAACCCATCCCAAATGTTTGTTTAGGTACAGATAAGGTACCCGGCCAGCCGATAGGGGTCATTTCACGCCTCAAAACCACATTTTAGTTAGTGGGCTTTAGACCTGGGTTGAGAGAAGACCTCCTGCTCCGCGGACTTACAATAGAACGGGCCATACAGTCCTACCAGTGCTACGGGTCTGTGTGTGCAAATCCCCGAGATTTTTTTGTTAAGTCCAGCTACAAGTTAACACATCCTGTAAAGGAAGTGATCAATGGTGAGGGCCTGTTTGCTACAAGAGCACTCCAGGCCGGCCTAATAGATCTAACGATTAATTCTCCAGGTTGAATAACTCTCCCTTATAACTTCCGGTACTGTGGCGCGAATGTGAGTGACTGACCTATCCATGTATGGAATTGTGCCAAATAAACGTAAGTGCAATCATCTGCCCGTATCTGTGACCCCTCTATTATTATTATTATTATCATCAAAGGTAATGACTGATTGGTTATGACAAAGTATAACCAATAACTTAGATGGATGTTGGAAGTTAATGGATTCATTAAATCATCATTTATCAAGTACACAACGCATTGAATGCCGGAAGCAGAGTGAATTTCTACTCTCCTGGGTGAGTAATCAGTGTGAAGGTATCTGAGTTCTACAATAAGAAAACCAATTTCTTGCATTTAAAACCTAACAATTACCCAACCAAATCAGCACTGTTACGACATACCAAGAGTGCAGAATATCAAGTAGGACATACCTGGGTTCAGTGTTTCCTTCTCTCACCAAAACTACCTGAACCAAGCGACTGGGAGTGGGTGAAGAACTCCAAAGGGCTATGGGAACCTCTGTGGTCCAACCTTCCTGAAGCTGCAAAATCGTGCAGTGAACTGCTTCATTGGGTGTGGATGAAGGTGGTGCACAGGCTGCTCTCAAGTGCGCAACTCAGTACAAGTACTCTGTACATTGCGAGAACGAATAGCCTACACACCACACTGAAAACAGTTGTTGTGCTTTAACTCTTTTTGATTTGTTTTAGACCATTTTGTTTTTCCCATAAAGCCAGTAATTCTATCAAGAGTTAATTTGACGCCGTGTGCTATTTTACCCCGTAAAAGTTAGTAAAATCGTTAATTAATGAAAGATTTATACTGAGTTGATTATTTGTCTTACTTATTCTGCCTCATATAAGTAACTAGCGGAATCGCCGCCCTCCGGGCGGCTCTTTCGCTAGGCCACGGTAGGACGCCCCCCTCCGGGAGGCTCCACATTGTCTCACTGTAATGCATTAATTTGTCTGCTTTGATCCTGATTTTGTACTCGCCAGAAGGCATGCTTTCCAGGGCATTTTAAAATGATTGTACATACGTGTTGTGCTCATGCAGCATTTCTTGGATAGATAGGACAATGTCATGTCTGACACCTTGAATATTGCCACACGTGATAGTTGTCTGCTTTTCATGATCTCCCATGAAGTAGGTTTGGAGGAACTTTGCCTGCTCATCTTCCAGTGGCAAGAGGGATCCTGCTTTGTGATAGACTTGACCCTGGACTTTGAATGTGGGCATGTATCCGTGCTCACGAACTACTCTGGTAGCTCCAAAGGATGTCATCTGGAAGCATGAATTGTACTTCCGGATATTTTCCAAGAAGTGTTTTGATCCTGGTGTTGTTCCCAGCATGAGAGTCTTCAATGGTTGTGGTGGTTTTTTTAAATTTGGCAGTCGTACTTTCCCATGAGAGCAGCACAGTCCAGGAGATTCTCCTTTGTACTTCTTTGCAAAGCAGTGTTCACATTTCTTATCCATGTTGCCAATGACAACGGAGGGATACTTTTCATATTCTATATATAACATCATCCATCATCACTACATATAACACCATCCATCATCACTACATATAACACCACACATCATCACTACTTATAGTACCATCCATCATCACTGCATATAACACCATCCATCATCACTAGATATAACACCATCCATCATCACTACGTATAACACCATCCATCATGACTACAGATTGGTAAAGTAGTTTCCGAGATTCTCGTGCGGACACACACACAAACACACACACGCAGACATACTTCTTTGTCTTATATATATATATATATATATATAGATTGGAGAATTGGGATGCATACAGTTACCAATACTTTTTCTTCAAATAAGCTAAGGTCATGTTGATTTTTTTTTAAGAAATTACTTTTTGTGGTATATTTTGATGTGGTCTCCATATCCATATTTGTTTTTTAAGTGACGAACTCCCATTCTCCCGAATATAATGTATGTAACGAGATGTTTATTTAGACTAATTACCAATATAACCTCTTCATCTAAATCCAATCACAAAGTTCAAGAGCTTAATACTTTTAATGCACTTAATAAAGGACTACATTTATCTTCTGTGCGAGATCCACACCAAAAACACAGAGGAGGGCATAATACAACTATGGCAGCTTTCATTATATTGTAGACAAATGGAAATGAGGATAAAGAGGTATAACTTACCCAGGAATCAGAGAAGTGGGCGTTCTTGTCATCAGTGAGGAGGATGATGGAGTTGCGAGGTTTTGAAGTAGGTTTAAGTACCACTGAAGCTGCCTGGTAGGGATTAAGTAACTCTCCACATCCTTCTGAATTCAAAAAGATAATTATAGAAAATGCAAATTAATCAATTCCAGGGGTTAACATGCAAGACAAATACAAAATAAACCCCTTCACCTTGGGGACGCCACTTTTAATATTTTATTTAGCTAACGCCAAACGATTTTATTCAGCACAAAGAGGATTCTGTGCACAAGTGGTTAGTAGACTATCTCCCCTAATAACATTAATAAGAGAAGTCTGAAAATTCCCTGCATAAGAAACCGCTAGTCTATATAAATGAAAATAAGCATTTACTGTAGATGTAGTAATACTAAATCCGAGAAGGAGTTGGTGCTGGACTTCACCTATGCATCCACCTTGGAACCTACTTATCGAAACCTAATACAGCTGGAGCGGGAAGAGCAGTGGTCTTTGGGGAAAGTACAAGAACCCTAGCCACGATTGTTGGTTGCTTTGTTACAATAGGATAAGAGACTCGGGGAGACTGTGGAACCAATGGCCTGAGGTTCCTCAGTAAGCTTGGTTCCTTGATTATACACTGGTCAACATAAAAAAAAATTCTCATGGTTCTGAATCAAAACAGTCTGATTCTAGTGTAATTGTATGTGCTGAACTCAATTATGACTCAATTATTGAAACTCCCAAAAACTACAGAGCATCGAGCTACTTGTGCCACTGTTTCAACATAATCACCCAGAGAGAGAATGTTTGCTACACATTAGGAACTCGTCTCTTTAGCTGGGGAGCACGAGAGAGTCTTTTAAACGTGATTTGGGAGACTTGTGACGGTGTATAAAAACGGGTGCAAACGGAAATATATAAGAAGTTTTTGCCGAATAGGGATAACTTTTTGTTTTTGTTGCTATAACTCGGGGAATTTAATTCTTATATGGTGAAATTTGCTTTGTTTAATATGAGGAGTCGTTTTCTGTTTTAATGTAGCAAAATTATACGAAAAGTGGGTTCGATAAGGTTAGGTAGGTTACGTTAAGTTACATAAGGCCTGTGTGAAACTATATATATATATATATATATATATATATATATATATATATATATATATATATATATATATATATATATATATATATATATATATATATATATTTATTTATGATCTACGTGATCGCTTATGGCCAGTCAGAAGCTCCAAAGAAGATAAATACATAGATGTTATCGCTAAATTAGTGATATAATCTACTAACCTGTAGACGGAGGTAAGGCGCCAGCAGCCTTTTGACATGGTAACAAGAGCGTCAGCGCCATCACCACTATGTCCAGGCTCATCATCCTTGATACCTCCAGTGCAGCTTCAACCTGACAGTAGAAGTAAAAAAATCTTATTCTTTATTAATATACAGCAGATGTTGACTGCTACCAAACCTAACAATTATGGTACCAACACTACAAATAATTAAATAATAATATCATTGAAGAATTATATACTGTAAAGAAGAAGAAAATAGTAATATTAGATGAAAACTATTTCAGTGCACACGAGCGATACTTATAAACTAATGCACCAAAATTCCTCTTTCTGTTGATTTCGTTGAAAACGTCATTACTCTTCATATTCAGCTATGACTTCTCTTGTAATATATACCCAGTCCATATCTTTTACATCCTCTTGTCAAGGTATTTTACGCTTCCAACCATCCTGTTTTATGTTATGTGTGATTATTTTCTATATATCATTAGGCTACTTTGAATATTCCTTCTCAAGACTTATGCCTGGCAAGTTTCATACATTTTCATTTTACGGCTTTAAGCTTCCTGCAATTTACTGATGTTAAAGCTCTCTCTCTCTCTGACTGCTCATTTTATTTTATTTTACCCTTCTTAAATCTGTTCCTTAAAAATAAGAATGTTTACACCTCAGTCGCCTTGCTAACCTGTAGTCATACTACTCTTAGTCTCAGGTGTACCGTAATTTATTTTCCTGTGTTGTATCTGCACTACCCTTAACTCCCTGTCGTTAAACCAATGTGACTGTTTTACTTTACACATTTAATTGAAAACTTAAATATGATAATTACGTTTTATACATTCTTCCTTTAAATGAACCGAATGCATTCAATCATACAAGTAGAAGGTCTTGGAGATGGACTATCTGATTCGCTTTGCTGTTCACATGTGTATTGTGAATTAAACCTATTTTAGGAAATATTTATCTGAGCCCTTAGTATTTGCAAATTATTTACAGAACAGGAAATTCTTGTTATTTATACAATGTGTGGTCATGAGTATGTAACATCCTGAACCTGAGTATGATGAGAAGTTTATAATACCATTGCATGAGGCAGAAAGGGAACTTGAAATACTATACTACATATCCATGAATTCTACTTTAATTTTTTTTCTATTCACTTAATTAATTATCTATTGTATGCTTCACTATGTTGGAATGATAATAATACAAACACTTAACTCTGGACTTTTAAAATTCAACAAAAAGTAAACGAATATTAATATAAGCAATGATCAGTCAGGTTTTAAAACAAATATGTGACCAAAACTTTATTGGAACTCTTACAATTCAGTTTTCTTATCCTTCGTTTTACACAATAGTACTTTGATCAGCTCACCCCTGGCTTGAGAGGTAAGGGACTATATACAAGCAATTTGTTTGTATGTGTAAGTAATTAACTGTAGTACATTCAGTTTCAGACCCTTGGAGGTTAATAAAGTTAACATTGTCCTTGCCCTGAAACACACGAATTCATCCTTTTTTTTCATAAAAAAAATATTTGTTTTTCCACAAATTGTATGTTCAATGCATTTCTGCTGTTAATTACCCAATCTCTAAAATCGTTTCCTACAATCCTTCTCATGTTTTTTTTGTACGTATACTAACTACATACTAGTCAACGACAATCCCGCCTGTGTGTGTGTGCTTAATTATTTTTCACTATCCACTAACTTATAATTGTCGTTACCTGCTAGCAATATATATATATATATATATATATATATATATATATATATATATATATATATATATATATATATATATATATATATATATATATATATATATATATATATATTCGCAAAATTCCGTTTTCATTTTTTTTTAATTTAATATTATTGTTCCAATAGAAAGTAAGTTAAACGAGTTTTTCCGTCTTATTATGGCTCAGTTCTTGCTACTACTCGTGGTACATTCCCTTCGTGCCCTTGAGGAATAAATATCTATTATGGTTGGCTCATTATTCAAAATATTTATTGTCTTATAATTAACTTTTTTTTAAATTTATTAGAAGATTCACCTTTACTCTACAAATAAAAGACCTCCCAAACCACTCCTTGAAAATCTTGTTGATGTTTTTTTATAACAGCTGTTATTAATGTTTCCTCGGTGCCCGTGTCCAGAACACTAAACAAATATTATCTTATGAAGAATATACCTTTGTAAATCAAATGACATTAGGTTATTTTTTACGCTTATTTCTAAAGAAATATATTTTGGATCATCTTCTGTTGAATTGAATATTTTCGCTATTCCAGATCTTATTATTTTAAATATTTACATTATTGCCACTTATACAACAACTGCCAGTTGTGAAAGTTACTTCTTATGAGGTAGTGTTAAAACCCGTGGCAATTATGTTAGTGTTGTTCACTGCCCCAGAAGTAAGGGTCTTCTACCGAACCATTGCAGTAAGGATGATGAGAGTCAAATACACAAGCAGATAAAGTGAGGGGCTGAGTTGGTGTAGAAGATGAAATTGTTGTATTATGTCCCCAGGAGGTCGGTAGAGGCTCTCCATGGTACGGCCTTGCTTGTATTGTACCTTCTCTCTGCCATCGACGGATCCACCTATAGACTGTCGTGATGCTGATCCCAATCTCCTGTGATATTTTTCTTGCTGACATGCCACTGATCCACAGACAGACAATTTTGCCACGGTAAGCTGTCACAAAAGGAGAACATGTAGGTCGCTTCTCCATTATGGTGTTTCTGTCAAATAGGATTATTATATATTGTTTCACCCCTCATGTGAGTCATCGGGCATTCTATGAACACAAAATATAATATGGTTTCCCCTACGTAATGTGTGCTTATGTTACAATAAATAGGGTTAATAGCCTTTTTTTGGAAACCGTGTAAATTATGATATATACGAATAAATTTTCACTAAATTATAGCAAAAAAGCCAATAGTTATTCCTATTTAGCAAAAGCGTCGGTTGCTTTATAGGGTTTAAGGTTTGATCGGCGCTATATATATATATATATATATATATATATATATATATATATATATATATATATATATATATATATATATATATGCAAGTAAATCACTGTAGGTGCGCGTGATCTAGGTATATGCTGATAACCACAAGGAAAGAAGAAAGCAACTAATACAAGTAAAACAATTCGTACGTTTACCTCAGAGACAGTCCTAATAGGGATACTGTTCTTGATATGGCGACACGAGGTAACTGTACTCACCTTGTGACAGTCAGGCATAGTTATAAACTAGTCACCTGGGTCGCGCAGAATCCCCTCGGGAGTACTGACGTCATGGTAAAGGTAAATTGTGATTGGACGATCGTATTTATAAGTGGTACTACAGTAAATTGTGTGACCTGTTCATGAAATATATTTAGCATTCAACGACCTACTCCTACCCATGTACTGACACACGTTTAGTCATGCAAACACAATGGATTCCACCACATGTCACTATAACAATATCAATATTACAAAATGTCGGAATATGTATAGCTTGATAACTACAACACTGAAAGATGTTAAGGTAATGATAGTGAGGTTGGAGTGAAACAGCCGTAGATTTATGAAATTTTAGGCATATATATATAAGAACATAAGAATGGAGGAAACTGCAGCGGGCCTATTGGCCCATACTGGGCAGTCCCGTTTACACCCAACCCCTATTGCTCATATGAGCATCCAACCTATGTTTGAAGCAATTCAGCGTATTCGAGTTAATGATGATATTTGGTAACTTGTTCCATTCATCCACTACTCTGTTTCCAAACCAGTGTTTACCTATTTCACGACTAAATCTAAATTTGTCTAATTTAAAACCATTGTTACGAGTTCGCTCCTGGTTGGATAATTTGAGTACCTTTGTAATGTCCCCTTTGTTTACCCCTGCCTTCCACTTATACACCTCTATCAGGTCGCCCCTCGCTCTACGTCTCTCAAGGGAGTGCAAATTAAGATGCTTTAACCTGTCTCTATACTCAAGGTTCCTAATGCCCGGGATTAGTCTTGTCATTCTCCTCTGAATTCTTTCTAAGGATTCTATATCCATTCTGTAATACGGTGACCAGAACTGAACTGCGTAATCCAGGTGTGGTCTCACAAGAGCAAGATACAATTTTTGGATGACCTCGCTAGTCTTGTAACTAACACTCCTTTGTATGAACCCAAGTACTTTATTAGCCTTGTTACAAGCAAAAACACATTGTTTACTTGGCTTAAGGTTCCTACTTATCATTACTCCTAAATCTCTCTCGCAGTTGGATTTCTCTATGGCATCGTTGTTCATCTGGTATCTGGTTTCCCTGTTTACATCTCCTCTCCTGAGTACTTTACATTTGTCGACGTAGAATTTCATCTGCCATTTTTCAGACCATTCGAAAAATTTGTTTAGATCTTCCTGTAGTTTTGCGGGGTCCTCGTCAGATTTAATAACACGTCCTATTTTAGTGTCATCAGCAAATTTGCTTATGTTGCTGTCTATGCCGAAATCTATGTCGTTTATGTATATAATAAATAATAATGGTCCAAGTACTGAGCCTTGGGGAACTCCACTTGTGACGTTGATTCCAATGGGACTTAGTGCCATAAATGCTCACTCTCTGTTTCCTGTCCTGTAACCACGCCCTAATCCATTTAAGGATATTACCTTTGATGCCATGTGCTTCTACCTTTCTAATTAGTCTTTCGTGGGGGACTCTGTCGAAGGCTTTGCTAAAGACGAGATATACCACATCATAATTGTGCCCCTCGTCCACCGATTCGAAAACTGATGAAAAGAATGTTAATAGATTAGTTAGGCAAGAACGTCCGCTTGTGAAACCATGCTGGGAATCATTGATCAATCGGTGCTTCTCCAGGTGATTTCGAATAGAGTTTGAAATGATTGCTTCCAGTAATTTGCCTACTATTGATGTTAGACTGTAGGTGCGCGTGATCTAGGTATATGCTGATAACCACAAGGAAAGAAGAAAACACGAAGTTCCCAAGCGCTTTCGTGTAATTCACATCTTCAGGGGTGAGTACAGACTAAAGAGAAATACAAACCAAGGTGTATATATACAGAGGAGGGTGAGACCAGGTCCACAATGGTCAGGTATTAGGTAATGACCCTACTAATCTTTAAATAGCACACAACGGTTGGTGGTCAGGTCAGATGGTCAGGTGACCCGGCCTTCTCACCTGGTTACAAATCTTCTTAATTACAAAATTGTCCAGCTTGTACATGCCGTTACTCAAATTCATGTTGAATGCTTCGTGTTTTCTACCTTTCCTTGTGGTTATCAGCATATATATATATATATATATATATATATATATATATATATATATATATATATATATATATATATATATATATATATATATATATATATATATATATATATATATATATATATATATATATATATATATATATATATATATATATATATATATATATATATATATATATATATATATATATATATATATATATATATATATATTTCATGTAGATCCACAATGAAAACGTGGATAAGATAAATCTTGATAAAATCACACGGGAAAAGGGAAACAATGGAGCACCTTAGCTTTCGTCTTTATTCAAAACATCTTTAGAAGCGTCTGAATTACAAGGGCTGAGAGAGGCTTATGTACACAGGGTGACCTTACAAAACATGATGTCAGGTCAAAAACATGATATCCACTAATCTACACACCAACACCACCACGCACATAAGAGGAACATAAAAGAAAGGGCGACGTAATTAGTCATGTTAAGTTAGGTCAAAAATATAAGAAACACTAAGCATTTTTAACCTTGGGCCACTGACAAATAAATTTGTGTAACATATTATCAGTTTTGTACAGACCATCACTAAGGTTTATAGAATTAAATTCCCTAATCAAACTTATTTCAACATGAAGTCTTTCTGTGACACATAAGAATATAAGAACATATGAATGGAGGAAACTGCAGCGGGCCTATTGGCCCATACTGGGCAGTCCCGTTTACACCCAACCCCTATAGCTCATATAAGCATCCAACCTATGTTTGAAGCTATTCAGCGTATTCGAGTTATGATAATATTTGGTAACTTGTTCCATTCATCCACTACTCTGTTTCCAAACCAGTGTTTACCTATTTCACGCCTAAATCTAAATTTGTCAAATTTAAAACCATTGTTACGAGTTTGCTCATGGTTGGATAGTTTGAGTACCTTTGTAGTGTCCCATTTGTTTAGCCCTGACTTCCACTTATACACCTCTATCAGGTCGCCCCTCGCTCTACGTCTCTCGAGGGAGTGCAAATTAAGATGCTTTAACCTGTCTCTATACTCAAGGTTCCTGATGCCCGGGATTAGTCTTGTCATTCTCCTCTGAATTCTTTCCAAGGATTCTATATCCATTCTGTAATACGGAGACCAGAACTGAACTGCGTAATCCAGGTGTGGTCTCACAAGAGCAAGATACAGTTTTAGGATGACCTCTCTAGTCTTGTAACTAACACTCCTTTGTATGAACCCAAGTACTTTATTAGCCTTGTTACGAGCAAAAACACATTGTTTACTTGGCTTAAGGTTCCTACTTATCATTACTCCTAATTCTCTCTCGCAGTCGGATTTCTCTATGGCATCGTTGTTCATCTGGTATCTGGTTTCTCTGTTTACATCTCCTATACTGAGTAGTTTACATTTGTCCACGTTGAATTTCATCTGCCATTTTTCAGACCATTCGAAAAATGTGTTTAGATCTTCCTGTAGTTTTGCCGAGTCCTCGTCAGATTTAATAACACGTCCTATTTTAGTGTCATCAGCAAATTTGCTTATGTTGCTGTCTATGCCGAAATCTATGTCGTTTATGTATATAATAAATAATAATGGTCCAAGTACTGAGCCTTGGGGAACTCCACTTGTGACGTTGATTCCAATGGGACTTAGTGCCATTAATGCTCACTCTCTGTTTCCTGTCCTGTAACCACGCCCTAATCCATTTAAGGATATTACCTTTGATGCCATGTGCTTCTACCTTTCTAATTAGTCTTTCGTGGGGGTCTCTGTCGAAGGCTTTGCTAAAGTCGAGATATACCACATCATAATTGTGCCCCTCGTCCACCGATTCGAAAACTGATGAAAAGAATGTTAATAGATTAGTTAGAAGTGAGCATCCTCTTGTGAAGCCATGCTGGGAATCATTGATCAATCTGTGCTTCTCCAGGTGATTTCGAATAGAGTTTGAAATGATTGCTTCCAGTAATTTGCCTACTATTGATGTTAGACTGTTTGGGCGGTAGTTAGAGGATAGTGATCTATCCCCCTTCTTGAAAATTGGTATTACATTTGCTATCCACCAGGATTCTGGTACTACACCTGTTTTTAAGGACATGTTAAACAACTTTGCTAAGGGCATACTAAGCTCTTCCTTACATTCCTTTAATACTCTGGCAAATATCTCATCGGGACCAGGTGACTTATTAGGCTTTAGTTTGTCTATTTGCTTACTAACATCGTTACTAGTCACTACTATCTCGCTTAATTTGTTTTCTTCACTATCTCTGAATAGAGTCCGTGCCCCGAGTATCATGTTTAAATTTTCGGTGGTGAAAACTGTTGAAAAATATTTATTCAAATTATTGCTCATTTCTCTGTCGTTATCAGTGAGCTCGCCGGTATCTGACCTTATTGGACCAATCTTTTCTCGTGTTTTAGTTTGATACATTTGGTAGAGTCTAGGTATATGCTGATAACCACAAGAAAAGAAGAAAACACGAAGTTCCCAAGCGCTTTCGTGTAATTCACATCTTCAGGGGTGAGTACAAACTAAAGAGAAGTACAAAACAATATGTACTGTTAAACAAATGTTAATCAAGAACTCCCCCAACAGCACAATTGGTTGCATTTATAAAGTTCCTTGCAAGGAATATAATATGTTTTACTTAGGCCAGACAGGTAAAGATCTTGTAACTAGACTTAAACAGCATAAATATAGTGTTAGGACAGGCCAGGAATCCAATGCTCTGTTTGTTCATTTGAGGGATAACAAGCATTGCATTGACTGGGATAATGCCTCCCCAATATTACCTTGTAATTCAATTGATAGTAGGAACATCATAGAATCTAGTCTCATTAAACATACCGAAGCATTCAACATGAATTTGAGTAATGGCATGTACAAACTGGACAATTTTGTAATTAAGAAAATTTGTAACCAGGTGAGA